GGGCAACGTTTCTCCCACCTTAAGTCCATCGTCAACACTAAAATTGGTCGGGAAGAGTTCAGCAACGCGATGTCGTCCCTTTGGAGGAGGCTCATCAACGATCCCAACGCGTTCCCACCGGAGTTCTGGACTCTTTGGAAACAATCCAGTCTAATCGCCCTCGGTGAAAAGTGCCGTCCAGTGTGCATTGGAATGACTTGGAGAAGGCTGATTGCAGCGGGAACGGTCAGGGAGTGGAAACCGAAACTGGAAGAAATATTTCGGGAAGCGGACCAATTCGGAGTGGCGGTAGCTGGAGGAGTTGAACAAGTTGCGATGGACGCACAACTGGTTCATCAGACAGGTCATTGGGTAGTCCAGACGGATTGCTCAAATGCCTTCAACACGGGCAAGCGCACCGCCATAATGGCCCAGGCCGCAAAGAGCGTCCCAGATCTCGTGGGGTACATCGCCAGGTGTTACGACGAAATCCCGGCAAAGGCGATATACACGATGGACTCCGGAGAGCGTCGGACGATCGAGTGCAAGAGCGGTGTGCAGCAAGGAGATGGAATGGGACCGCCCCTGTTCTGCTTCATCCTAGTCCCGATCGTCTTGAAGCTTAGAGCCAAGTACGACCACCTCGGGGTATGCTTGAAAGCTTATATGGACGACATCAGCCTGCACTTCAAAAATATCACAGCGGAAAATATCCAGGTGATACCGGACCTCGTCGACGAACTAGAAGCTGTGGGCATCATCGTCAACAGGGGGAAGAGCTCAGCGCTTCCCCCACCAGGGCACGACGTGACGCCAGCAGAAAGGAGGCTACTTGGCGATGCAGGCCTACCGATTGCGGAGGAGGGCATCACAGTTGTGGGAGTCCCCATTGGGACGGATGCCTACGTCGAGGATATCGCAATGAAAGTGATAACTGAAGGGGGTGCAGACAAGCTTGCTCGCATGCTGGTGCGCATGCCAGACAAACAGGTGGCTCACCTCGTCACATCACAATCGCTGACACAGCGATCCGGATATATCGAGAGAGGCATCAATCATAAGCTAGTGAAAGGGGCTTGTAAACGCCTGGACAATATGGTGATGTGGGTCCTAGAGGCAACGATGGGGCTCAGAGACACCGAAGTCGAAGAAGAGTTCTTCCAAGACGACTGCCAGCCTGACCGCTTCAAGTTAAAGCCCTATCAACAAGCCCAGGCGCGCCTGTCGACAGGAGCCGGAGGACTAGGATTACCAGCAGCCGTTATGCGAAGGTTCTCAGCTTCTCTGGGCAACCTAGTCGGCACCCTTCCTGCGGTTATAGCCGCGTTACGGGGTCCATTGGGAGAGTCGGTGAGAGTTCGGATACCGGGAACCGTGTTGGTGGAGCGGATGGGGGACGCTATCAAAGAACTCAACCAGGAGCATGGAATATCGGTGGAGATTCTGAAGGGGATCCTTCCCCCGTCATGGGTTGAGTGGGCCTTAGAACCGACAGGAGAAACCGGAAGGCGTCAGCCCACCGTTGCAGAACTGGCAGCACACGATGGGGAATCTACTACGCCGAGGAAAGCCCAGCACAAACTGGGCAAGGCGGTTAACAAGATACAACTTGAAAAGTTCATGGAGTCTCTGGAGCACCTCCCCCAGGAGGCGGTACCACCCACGCGGGACAACCCCTACGGAGGTCAAGAGGCCAGGAACATGGCATACGCACGAACGAGAAGCTCGCAAGGGCAAGGGGGGCAAGCGTTCCTGAGAGCGGCTCCCACCGACCGAGCTCGAGAGATTCCATCGAACGAATTCGTCTACGCGACGAGACGCGCCTTGGGAGTTGAAGAATTCTTGGCGGAAAGATGTCCCAGGTGCCACAGAGGCAGGGAAGGCGAGATCATCACAACGGTGCACGCAAGGACCTGTCGAAGGGATGGAGCACAGGTCAACATGCACGAGCCGTTAAAATACGCACTATCGAGAGCACTCAACGGCCTTCGCGTCAAACACGACGTTGAAAGCGGGGCACCGTTCACGGGGGAAAGAAACCTGAGCATGGACATCGTCATCAGGCCAGGAGCCCTCACGAACGCATCTTCTCCGGGGTACCGCAACAAAGGAATACTCCTCGATGTCACACACGCAGACCCGCAAGCACAGGTACACTTGCGGAACGGCAGCGCGACCAGCGATGGAATCGCAGCCCAAGCATCCGAGGCGCGAAAGCGTCAGCACTACGCTCGTCCGGGACACGTGTCCTTTGACGAACGCAGCTTTAAACTTACCACCTTAGCCGTGGAAAGCTTTGGCCGCCTTGGAGAGGAGGGTTACGAGTTCATCGATGAACTTGCGACACATGCCGTGGGAGGAAGGGACGGAGGAACGATGGCTCTGAAAGGAGTCTTCAAGGAACGACTTCTTCAGATCGTTTCGGTGGCTACACAGGTGGCCATATCTCGGCGAGTGCAGAGGTACAAGCTCGCATTGCGCGGGCGTCAAGACGCCGAAAACAGGCGAACAAGATCGACCTCGGACCAGTCAACGCCAATGATATGGGGATGGAGTGTAGACGCATCGTAGAACGCGTTTTCGTTTGAAGTTGGCGTCTTGTTTGAGAGTAGATGTGACAGATTTGCGTAGAATAGGGTAAGATGTTATCATGAACGGAGATGAAAGGGCTTTTCCAACACGGAGATGTAGCATGGATCAAAGCATTTGTTGGATTTCAGCTTTTACAAGCGGACATCAACGCAGTAGTATTTTAGCAAGCTTACGAACGCATATAGGATACCATCAGGATTGTCATTGGTAAGTTGAAGAGGAGATACTTTTACGATGTAAATGACAGTAGAAATAAGTCCTACATATGTTGTTGTACTTCGTATTGGTTTAATATTCATGTAGAGTATGAGACATTAAGTGAAAGTTTTCTGAGGTACATCTGCAATTGTCGGAAGGCAAAAATAAATAAAATAAAATAATCATTTGTACGCATACAACTTTTGTATTGTCGAGCTGGGCAGGAAACAGAGTGAAATCCGGTGGAGGGGGTGCGCTCTGCCTGTTCAGCATTTTTTTTGTATATAGATTACCTATCATGTACTACGAAGTACGAAACAGCAATGAGCCTTAGTGCCAGTTCGGAAAACGTTCCGGAAACGTTCCGGAAACCAAATACCGTTCCACGAGACCGAAAGCACTGGTCAAGAAACTTTCCGGGAACCTTTCTAATCTTATTATGGAGTTTTCCATATCCCATCAACGTAGCGGATGTAGACTATGTAGGAAACATTCTAAGAACCGGTACGGAATCTACCGCATCCATCAGTGAATCGTTCTCGATACCTTTCCCGAAATATATTCCTCAAGGGAAGTTCTTTCCTTCATAGCTTATTGTACCGCGTTTAGAGTGCCATATCACCATACTGTAACCGGCACTGCTTTGTGCTACTGAAATCGCTCATGATGTATATGTGACATCGTATAATGCTGTGTTGTACTTGTGTTCAAGAATACCTACAACAACAGCAGCAGATTTTATACGCGAGAAGGGTTCAGCCACCACCTCGTCGACCGTGAAGCCGATGTGATTTTTTCGCACGGCCGTGTACGTAGTACGTAGTACGTAAATCGCTTTCAACTATCAAGCCATCTACAGGTTGCTGGAACTCTAGGGAAAAACCACCAGGTCGGAACTATAGGGTATGGCAAATCTCTGTAGGGTACGAGGGGTGTCACAGAACTTCTGTAAAATCTCTGTAGGGTACGAGGGGTGTCCGAACTTCTGTAAAATCTCTGTAGGGTACGAGGGGTGTCACAGAACTTCTGCGAAATCTCTGAAGGGTACGAGGGGCGTCACAGAACGTCTGTAAAACCTCTGTAGGGTACGAGGGATGTCACAGAACTTTTGAAAGTTCTCTGTAGGGTACAAGGGGTGTCACAGAACTTCTGTAATCCTCTGTGGGGTACGAGGGGTGTCACAGAACTTCTGTGAAATCTCTGTAGGGTACGAGGGGTGTCACAGAACTTCTATACTGTAGGGTAAGACGGGTCTTCCTTTTTTTGTTGGCTGCCTTCTTTACTCCTCCGGTCCCCTGCGTGCCGTGCTTCTTCTTGAGGTGTGTGTTGACTTTACTGCCGTCGCCTCTGGAGCTCGGAACCACCTTCTTCGTACTGCGGCAGTGTGTGCTTGAAGTCATGCTTCTGTAGGGTACAAGGAGTGTCACAGAACTTCTGTAAAATCTATGAAGGGTACGAGGGGGGTCACAGAACTATAAAATCTATGTAGGGTACGAGGGGTGTCACACAACTTCTGTGAAATCTCTGTAGGGTACGAGGGGTGTCACAGAACTTCTGTAAGATCTCTGTAGGGTACGAGGGGCGTCACAGAACGTCTGTAAAGCCTCTGCAGGGTAATTACAGACGGAATTACCGCCGGTGCGTGTCTGTGAGTACCCTACAGTTCCGACCTGTGGAAAAAAATCCCGGGTAAAAATCGAACCCACAACCTGCCGTTAGGGAGTCATGCGTGCAGATTGATCACTGTTGGGAGACCAACACTAGGATTAGAGCTGGGACACACAGCAACTAACTCGACATGTATGTGTTGTGAGCTATGTGCTGTAGCGAAAAAGATCCTCCGGAGAGAGAATTGGACCCACAACCTTCCGCCAGGGAGTTATGCAGATTAAACACTAGAGACCACCTCTGGGATAAGTGGAGGAACACAGTAACTAATAACTCATAGTCTATCCATACAACATGTAGCGTTGTATAATGACCGACCCGTGTTCTACTGTACTGAGTAGGGTCAACGAAACAGTGGGTGGGGTGGCCACTTCTGTGGCACATCACTATTATTGTATGTCATGCTGGGGAAGATGCTGGGAAGAATTGACACCCTCGCTCGGTGGTTGAAAGTGAAGTGTACAGAAAGGTATGGTATCTACACTCTAGCCTTTAGGTTTGTACCGGTCGCCCCGGTGGTCTAGTGGTACCCTCGTAATCCGCTAGTCGCAGAGGTGGTGAGTTCTAATCCGCATGGGGTGAAAATTTTACGAAATGTGCGGGTGAAAGCGAAATGTAGCTGACAAGCTCTCGTGAGTACCAAACTTCGACGTTAGCACCGTTGACGAGGGACAGGGACGGCTGGACCTTTCTCGCGATAAAAAAAAAAATCAGCACGCACCGCAGGAGGAAGGTGGGGCACGAAAAGAAATACCAAGTAAAAAGAAGAAAAAAGTCCTTGTGTTTACCCCCTCCTGGTGACCCTGGACGGTTGGTTGTAGTTGTACGAAAAAATACACTGAAAAGTGTAGAGCGAAAAAAATGTACCAATTACGAATATTATTGATGTCGAGATATCGTACGATAGCTAACATCACAGGCTACCTCCTAAGAAAAAAACAAACAAAAAATCGAAGCTGCTGGGAAGATATGGCTCCTGTTATACCCGTAATTGTTCCGGGATAATACGGCGAAAAACACCTCTGCCCCCGTTAAGAGACACTTTAAAGATGTGGTGATTGGGCGAGATCTAAGGCGTTTCAAGGCCTGGTTTTTTTCGTACACGCTCTGCTTGAACTCATGTCTACGTAGAAAAAAAAAATGGGATTGATCCAGGCAGTTTTGATCCGGTTTGGCTCGTAAATGTGAGTTGTTCGCTCCGACAACGCCGGGTGCCTCGCCATGAAGCCGTCAAGCCAGCTGCGCCCCGGGCCCTTATCTGAGTCCCTGGGCACCGGGCGTCCGTCGAGGCAGAGCACTCGCACCGCATCTATGAGCTGCTGCCGACCGAAACTCAGGAAGTGTCGAGAAGCGTAGATCAACGCATCTTCCACCGCATCTTCTTTCGCCTTGCTCAGCACAGTCTCGGGGCCAACCCTCGCATCCATGGCCATAGCACCGCTCAAACGTCGCGAGAGCGCGTCCTTGTTCACCCCGTAGGCCTTGGCAGCAGCCCTGAGAGACAACTGACCACTGCGGACCGCATCGCAAGCCTTCTGCGCCTGTTGTGGGTCTACTGTTGCCCGGCCCATGCTCGCAATGCTTAGCAACGGACCCGCCACAGGGATAAAAATGACCCGCATCACGGGTGTGGGAGGGCGTGTTGCTGTATCGCGTGGGTGCGTGACCCGACGGGACACTGAAATGCTCAAACGAAAGCCAACGGAACGCTTGAAAAGTTGAAAAAAATCAGGGGTCCCCGCGGATTGTGTGCGGAGGTATGTGCACTTGAAAAAATGTGTCTCTTAATGGGGGTGTCTGTTAATTGGTACCAGTCTGTCCGGGGATATTGTACCGATTTGGACATCCGGCAACATCACTTTTTTTTTTTTCTTAATATGACACAACGAGTCCATCTCTATCATAGAAAAGAGTCAGAGACAGATAGATTCACAATGGAATCATAGCGTCAGAGAAAACTACCTGTGTCTACGATTTCCCAGGCAGCATATAGGGACATCTCCCCTGTGGGTAACAGGCTCAACAAATCAGTTTGGTAGCTGTCTTGTGTGTCTCATATATGTTATGTTGGGAAGGTGCAGACGAAAGGTGTTGGGTACTGTTGGGTAGTCGGGCGTTTTGTGTGTCGCACCCTGTTAGTTGTAGGACATGCAATCTCCATCAGTTTACAAACATATTTATTTATTTATTTTTGCCTTCCGACAATTGCAGATGTACCTCAGAAAACTTTCACTTAATGTCTCATACTCTACATGAATATTAAACCAATACGAAGTACAACAACATATGTAGGACTTATTTCTACTGTCATTTACATCGTAAAAGTATCTCCTCTTCAACTTACCAATGACAATCCTGATGGTATCCTATATGCGTTCGTAAGCTTGCTAAAATACTACTGCGTTGATGTGCGCTTGTAAAAGGTGAAATCCAACAAATGCTTTCATCCATGCTACATCTCCGTGTTGGAAAAGCCCTTTCATCTCCGTTCATGATAACATCTTACCCTATTCTACGCAAATCTGTCACATCTACTCTCAAACAAGACGTCAACTTCAAACGAAAACGCGTTCTACGATGCGTCTACACTCCATCCCCATATCATTGGCGTTGACTGGTCCGAGGTCGATCTTGT